CCCCGAGCGCCCCCAGGACCGGCAGCCCGGACCCCCGTGTTCTCTGTGCTAAGAGAAGCGGGCGCGCAGCCCGGCCCACGGTGAGTTCCGCCGTCGGAGTCCCCGCCCGACCACCGCCTTGGATGCCTTCACCCCCTCCTCGACCCTAGACTCCCCACTGCCTGTGTTCGCGGTCCCCCGCGGGTCGAGGCCAGCCTGGCTGTCCTGCTCCCTCTTCCGCTGCCCCTCGGAACGACCAGGACGCGTGCGGGACCCGCACTGTGGACAGGGGGCAGCTGGAAGAGGGCTGGAGGCGATCGATGGGACCAGACCTCCCTGTTTCGGGGCGCCCAGAGGCCTAGGGGACCAGGTATGGCCATCCAATATAGAGTGCGACGGAGCCCGCGTTCCCTGCGCACAGTATCCCTCTCCGACCCCGCCCCCTCTAGGGAAGCTCTCGAGGGGACAGAGCGAGCCCGCCCCCCGCCATTGCCTCACTGTGCCTGTGGACACTCAGGACACAGGCTGAAGATTCCCCCTTTTCTTGTCCCCCCTTCGTCTCCCTGAAAACCCTGCATCCTGCAAGCCCCACCCCCTCCTCTGGCCGCTAGGAAAGGTAAGAGTGGAGGTGCTTAATTAAAACACACATAGACATCATCTAGATACACAGAGGCCCACTCTCGCCCCAAGAGGAGCAGAGACCCCAACGGAACTGAGGCGTTAGGCTCCCATAATACTGCTGCCAGGAAGCACCTAGAGGAGGGGGCTAGGAGGGAGGGGCGTGATGGTGAAGGAGACAGGTGAGCAGACAGGTGAAGGCCTCTGGAGCAGGTGCCCAGAATGCGCATTCTTGGTGCATCCTTCTAGAAGCGCGTCACTTGTCCCTGATCTCTCAGCAGCTTCCCCATGGCGTCAGTTAAAATGCAGTTTTCTGGCTCCTTCTCCTGGGATTACGTTGGGAGGGGGCCCAGGCAGCAGGCACACCATGTGACTTTCACTGGGCACTGCCACCCCCTACGTGCAGGGCGAACCCTTGGAGAAGTGAGAGTGAAAAATCAATCCACTATGCTTGGGTGCAGGGGTACAAGAAAGGGGCGTGGTGAGCCAGCAAGAGAAGAAACTCCAGAAACAGAAGACCCGGTGTGGGAGGGGGCATGGCGTGGCAAGCCGGCTCCAGGCTGGACACCTTGACACTCCCTACACACAAGGCAGCACCAGAAGCCTTCCACCCTCAAACTGGCAGAGACCTGAATGCAACAAAAAGTGGTTCTCAGGGCTCCCGCTGCCTGCCCTCCTTCCCCAGAATAACCTGTCCACTGTGGACACATTAGAAATACTGACCTAGCTTTTCTGCTGGGCCTCACTGACTCCAGACTCCCTATTGCACTGGGAGGAGACAGCTCGACCTGAGAGCCTGGGTTCAAATCCCTCGCTGGGCTGTGAAGGATAGCAGCCTCTACTTGTAGGCATATGGTTTCCAGTTACCTAAGCCCTTTGTGCTAACATGTGAGCCATGACTGTGGCTGGTGGCTGTGCGTCTGATTGTGTGCCTCCATCCACACAAAGGTCCCCACAGTGCTTCCTGTTCTGGTCACAGGCAGCCCATGGAACAGCCACATACTCACCTCTGAGGACAGCTGAGTGAGGAATCTGGAAGGGCAAGGTCAGAGGCCTCCATGGCAGGTGGCTGTGAGGTGCTGCAGGGTAATTACTGTGTGGGTGTCCAGGGTTTCCAAGAGAAGTCCTTTCCAGACACCTGTGTGCAGCACATTTGTTCAGCCACCACTCTGGCCTCCATCCTAGCAACAGGCTGAGAGGAGGGGCCATGGGGGGAGGAGGGCACTGCTTAGCAGGTGAGATTAGCTGCAGGCCAACCTAGAGCCCAGAATTTGGGATATCCCCAGAGCTGAGTCCCAGCTCTGCCTGTGCTGACTTTTACCTGAAGGCTGATTCTTAAAACCTCAGTTTCCTCATCTGAGACCGGGCCATACCTACCTTCTCTTGGGCTGGTCTGGGGAAATATCAGATGAGATTGCCCCCTTTCTGCCTTGAACCTTTAGTTGACACAAAGACATACCCCCCTCTCCTTATCCCTGTAGCTCAGAACACTTTGTTTCTGCGTCACACTTGTCGCTAGGCCTTGAGCCCCCTGTAGCCCCTGTCACAGGCAGATGCAGCTGGCGGTTGCCCTGGCAACAAACAGCTCAGGCAGCAGCTGCTCTGCTGGCTTTGGGGGGCTTCAGGGGGAGCAACCTCTCCCGCTCAGTGGAGGGGGGGTGGCTTGTGACACTGGCTTCTCGGGCCACAGAGCTGGTTTGTGGAGGTGGAGGCCTCAGGAGCTTTGATACCAGCCTGCTGATCACCCACCCTGTCTTTGAGGAGGGAAGCTCTGGTAGATTGAAGGAGGTGGAGCTTATTCTAGTCCCTCCAGCCAATCTCTGTGCGAGGTCTCCTTGAGGTCTGGGGTTTCCCTGCCAGCTAGGTAAGACCATCAACATCATGGTCCCCAGACACTGATAGCTGGGGGCAGGAAGTCCACTGAGAACCCCAGAACACCTTTATGCTGAGGTCTATCCTGGAAAAGTAGGTGGGTGTTAATCAAACTTTCACTAACTTCAAGGGTCAGGCAGCAGAGGCTATGAGGCAGCCCCAAGAGGTGGGGAGGAGGAGAGGTGACCTCTGCTGCAGACTGCCCCGCAGGTATCAGAACTTGTCTGTGTCCTGTTTTTTTCAGCAAGCTCTGAAGTGTTGATGCCCGGGACCCTGCGTCCTCTATCAAGAGGGGGATTTAGACAGCTGGTGGCTTTAGACAGCTGGTGGTACAAAGCCTCTGTGGTCAGTGGGGAACCTGTCCTTGCACCACAGGCCACCCAGACTGGACTGGAGTCAGGGTTGAGCTGTGAAAACCCAGTGGCAGAGGTGACTGGCTCACTCTGCCCTGGTAGGTTCATGCGAAGAGACTGCTGACTGGAAGGGAGGAGGCCCAAAGCTAGTGGTTGCCCTTTCATCCCAGAGAGAGATGAGGCCTGGGTTGGCCAGTGGAAAAGGTCCGGGAAGAGGAAAGGTCACAGCAGCTTCTAGTTCTGCTGGCCCTTTCTCCTGGAGTCTGCAGGAGGCAGAGTCCCCAGAGACAGGCCTTCACCTCTAGGCAGAGCCAACGATGGTGACAAAGAGCTGAATCTTCCTTGGAAAAAGTAGCGCCAGCTCTGAGACAGGCTCTAGGCCCAGCACAGGGTCCTTGAGTGGACTGCCCCCTGCCCTTCTGCTCACAACCCCTTGCCCAGGAGCTGGCATAAGGGGAAAGTCTGTAAGGAGTTGTCAGATTCCCTTGCTTGAAGACCAGTGGCTCCTTCAAGCTGTTACTGATGGCAGCTTGGTCGCCATGGCAGCATTGGGAGGGGACTAGATAGAATGGCTTTGAGGGCAAGATAGTGGCATCATCCCTTCCAGCAGTTTCCATTGTGGTGCCACTCACTACATGTTTTCATTCCACTGCCTGGTAGTCGTGAAGGGCAACCCTACTTTGAAAGAACCTCTCTCTTGATTCACTGTCCCCCATCTTTGTTGGCCATCCCACAGAGGCATGGACAGGGGCTGCACTTGAATGAGTGAAGCCCTCAGATATCTTGCTGCAAACTTTGCTCTTGTGAGCAGTGATCCTGGAGATAGATAGGCTGAGCCCCTGGGCAGAGGCTCTGGCTCCTTTGCTGCCACCATGACTTGCCCCCCTCCACATAGTGGCTTGTATCATTGGCACTGGGTACAGGAGGCTGTGTGGACTCAGTATATGGGGGTTCTAGGGTGTGTGAAGGGTCCATAGGGAACTGGAGGATGGTGTTATGGGGGAGCCATGGGAGTCAGGTATATGGGGTCCTGGGAAGTGGCCATGGGGACACGATAGATGAGTCTAGCTTAGAGGTGGCTTTGGGAAATCTGGTGGATGAGGATCCTGGGAAGAGGCTCTGAGGTCCCCATGGGTAGGAATCCTGGGGCCCTGGGGGTGGCCATGAGGACACGATGTAGTGGACTCTGATACCCACCATCCTCAATCCTCAGCTAAGGTCCAAGGGACAGGATAGGTGAGTGGCAGGCACTCCCTGTTGCTCTGCCCTCAAATCCCAGGTGCACAGGAGGGTCTCAGTCCTTGATGGGTGGGGTAAATGTAGATGTGACAAGACATGGCTACTTGCTTCAGTGAGCGCTGACCCTGTGCTGGATACAACTTCTCACACCTGTAGCCCACCAGTCTGCCTTGCAAGTCTCCAATTTTGTAGATGAGCTCGTGAGGCAAGCAAAGCTAGATGACTTCCTAGGCCACCTGGAAGGTGCACAACAGGAATGCCAGCAGTTGTCTGGGCTCCTGGTCTGGGCCAATCTGCTGGGGGTCCCACACACCTTGACCTTCTCACACTCCCTATCTTTGACAACCTCAGATGACATACTCAGAGACAACCCTCAGAGAGACCCCTGATCCTGCTGCCACCCCAGGCAGCGGCCTCTCTTTCCTGGTTCCCACCTCAGCTGGCTTCCAGCATTCAGCGACGTGGTGGTGACCCACCGTGGGTGAATTCTGACCGCTGCCTTCCCACCCCTGATTGCAGCCAGGGAGAGATGGCTTCTGAGGGATGATTGAATGAGCTAGAGAACGTTGCTGGAGTTGTGTGCCATCAAGGCAGAAACAACTTACATCTGACTCTCTAGCAAGTTTTCAGAGGCAGTAAATCACACAAGAGGAGATTGTCCATCTTTCTCCTATAAAACAACTGGGATTTCTGTGCCTTTGGGATTGCAGTGCAGCTTCTTATCACTAGGTCACCAAGGCTCCCTGACCTAGGCATAAGAGAATGAACAAATGAGTGAGGGAGTAAATGAATGAATGACCATGAGCGAATAAGGAAATGAATGTGTGGCTGATTGAGTGAATTTATGGGTAAGTGAATAGATGAATGAGTGAGTGACTGGAGGAGGGAGCCCGTTGAGGGTGAAGCCCTGCCATACCTTGCCTCTGCCCACAGGCCAGCATGTCCACCCTGCTGGATCTCAAGAGCAGCGTGCTCAGGCAGGTGCAGGGGTGCCCTTCATTCCGGCGCAGGACAGAAGAGGAGGCGGCCAGCTCTGCATCCGATGCCCCAGCACCCTCGCAGGAGGCCTGGTGGGTGCCCTACCCTGATAGATTTGGGCACTAGGATGTGGCGTTTGTTGCAGACCGAGGGTCCCAAAGAATAGAATAATTTTATAATTATTAATGAAGAGACAAACAGCCAGGAATGAGATAGAGCAGAGAGCATAAAACAGGGTCAGCAGTTCTCGACTGAAGACCTCAAGCCATGCTTCTCTGAGCATTTATTTAGAATCATAAGATAATAAAAGTAAAATCACAAGGAAGTACAAAACAAAGGATAATGGTGAAATCTTTTACAGATAAGGTCAAGTTCCTCTTTATGTTAATCTCAAGAGGGAGGGATTCATTTGATACAAACTAAGAACAATGTTGACTCCTAAGGAATGCCCCAGTGTCACAAGGTGACCTTCAGCTTGGATTAAGCCTCCCTCATTTCCTGATACAGCATTTGGTCTACTATTATTAAATTTGATATTCGGCTTCCCTCAGCGGTTGGCTGGGTAGTGGGGCCCCAGATAGCAGCCTGTCCCCCCCCACACACACACACAGGAAGCCCGGGGATGGCGTGGAATTCTTCGCGCAGATGCGGCTTGTGCTGAAGAAGGGCGAGGACCGCCAGCGCCTGCTGCACCCAGAGGTGAGCCCTGCCCCACTGCCCTCCGCCGCCCGCTGTCCACCACCACACTGCATCCTGCTCCCCCACAGGTCCTCCTGTGCAGCGACTCGCCAGCTCCTCCCGAGCCCGTGGACCCCAGCCGTGGTCTGAGGACCTTGAGCCCAGAAGAGGTAAGGACCTCCAGGACTGGGGCGCACTGAGAGGGGCGCAGAGCCAGGAGGTAAGTGTGGGCGTGGCCATGGACTCAGTGCATACACCCCACCCCGTTCCAGGTGGAGATGCTCTACGAGGAGGCCTTGTACACAGTCCTCCACCGCGCGGGGACCATGAATGCTGACCAAGTGGACGATCAGGAAGCCCTGCTGGCCTACCTCAGGCAGGTGAGCCCGGCCACGCCCCTGCACAACTTCGGCCCGCCCCCTCAACCCCGTCCCTCCCCATTAGGCCCTGCTCGTCTCAGCATCCATCACGGGCAACCTCACCACGTTCCCCCATTGCCTCGCTCTTTACACTAGCCTGCCCACAAACCACAAGTGTATACACGACCCCCACACCAGGCACACACACATAAGGTGCTGAGGACCACACACTGCTCACCCCTAAATGAATGAGTGACCCCACCTGGCCTGGGACCTCACCTGATAAGTGAGCCCAGGCTTCACTGAGGGCGTTCACCAGCCTCTGGTACCTGCCCCCAGGTGTTCAGCACCAGCCCAGAAGAGCATGCTGAGGCCGTGGGGCATGTGAAGAAGGCCAAGGTGAGTCCGTGGTATGTGGGGACCACAGGCAGGGGATCTGGTGACACTACCACCCATTCTGTTCACACTCCCCACCTGCAGGCCCCCACCTATGCTCTCAAAGTCTCTGTCATAAGAGCCAAGAACCTCCTGGCCAAGGACCCAAATGGTGAGTGGGCACCCGGCAACTGGGAGGGGTTGCCTGGCTTGAACTCAGCGGCCAGGTGATCCTGTGACCCACCACACCCCTCTAGGTTTCAGCGACCCCTACTGCATGCTGGGCATTCTGCCGGCCTCTAGCACCCAGCAGCAGTCCCCAGGGAAGGAGCACCGTTTCAGCTTCCACAAAGGCAGCAAACGTGGTGGCAGGGGCAGCAGCAGAGACCCACTGCCTGCCAAGTGCATTGAAGTGACCGAGGTTAAGAGCAGCACTCTGAACCCAGTCTGGAAGGAGCACTTCATCTTGTGAGACCCTGCCTGCCCAGCCAGGGCTGTGTCTTCCTGGGGTGCACAGTGGCTGGGACGGGAGGAAGGCAGCCTCACTGCCTGCCCTTGGGGAGTTGGAAATGGGGCTTGGTCACATTCCCACCTTTCAGAGGATAAAACTGAGGCTCAGAGAAAGTTGCTGCATGGGCGGCTCCATAGCTGGGGCAGGATTTGAACTCAGGCCTCTGTCTCTGGAGTAGGAAGAAATGCCCCCTCTCCTCCGCTTTGCCCCTCCCCCTGGACCAGCCTTAGACAGAGGACACCAGGAGCCTGAATGGTGTTCCTGTCCTTGGCAGTGAGGTTGAGGATGTCAACACAGACCAGCTGCACCTGGACATTTGGTATGGGCCCCACAGTGCTGAGAATGGAGGGGACGCCTCTGGTTGAAGACCTCGGGGCCAGGATGTGTACCCCATGTAACCCAGGTCCCCTGTGACCCCCAGGGACCATGATGATGATGTATCCCTGGGAGAAGCCTGCAGGAAACTGAATGAGGTCATGGGCCTGAAGGGCATGGGCAGGTTAGGAATTCAGATTCTAGTTAGCTGTCTCTGTGCCCCCCTCTCCTAGTTCTGTACCTGCAACTGACTGCATTGTCTCCACCTCCCCCCAGGTATTTTAAACAGATTGTCAAGTCAGCCCGGGCAAATGGGGCATCGGGGCCCACCAAGGACCACTCTGATGACTTCCTGGGGTGCCTCAACATACCCATTCGGGTGAGTGGGTATATGATGTCCTTTACCAACACCTCCTTCAGAGTCAGGTGCCCAGGATCCCCAAGAGTCTGTCCTAGGCCCCTGAAAACAGATCAGAAGGGACTGACCACCGTGGGGCCCTGAATGTCAGTGCACTCAGAAAGCCTGCATGTGGGAGAGGCGGGGTGAGTGCAAAAGAGTACACGCCCCACCCCTGCCTTCTTCCCATAGGAGGTGCCTGTGGCTGGTGAGGACCGCTGGTTCAAACTGGAGCCTCGTTCTAGTGCCTCTCAAGTGCAAGGCGAGTGCCACCTGGTGCTCAAGCTTATTACCACACAGGTGGGCACAAGTGAGTGGGGCTGCCATGTTTGTGCTGTCCAAAAGGGCCTGTGGGGCTGGTTTCAGTGGTCCCTGTCTTGCAGAGGGACACCAGCATGAGCCAGCGTGGTCGGTCCGGCTTTCTGTCCTACCTGATGCTGCTCAACAGCCTGATGCAGTTTGAACATTGCACGGAGAAGGTAGTTAGTGGTCCTCTGGGGACCTGGTGGCCAGGAGGGCTGGGGGCTTCCACATCTACTAACACCATTGCCCCTCCTTCTGCAGCCTGAATCAAGCAGATGGTGTGGGGAGCTCAGTGGACCAGCCACCACCATCCTCTGTCTGCATGGTGCCCAGAGCAATCTGTCACCCCTGCAACTGGCTGTGCTGTGAGTTGGGGGTCTGGGTGTGGCAGCGGCACTGGGCCAAACTCACTCTGACCAGGCTGGGCCCCACAGGCACTGGCAGGTCAGCAGCCGACACCATCAGACCCACTCTCTGGATTACGGCTACCTGTTGGGGCTGCTGGATGACATCCAGGCACACTGGGAAGATTCTGCATCACTGCCCCAGGAGCAGGTTGGGCAGGGCCAGGTCAAGCTGGAAGGGAAAGCACCTTGGGGGTGGGAGCAAGTGGAGAGGACACACACACTGTAGGATGCTAGGTTACAGAGTGTGGGGTATAATGAAGTGACTGCAGGGGGAAGTCACTGTAGGGGGAAGCTGGAGACTGAGCTGAGATCTGAACCAAAGGAAGTGAGTGCTTGCCAGGGTGGAGGAGGCAGCCGAAACAGGAGAACAGTAGGTCCAGGGGGTAACAGCCTGTGCAAAGACCCTGGGGCATGTCTGAACCTGAACAGGTACTAGGAAGGTCAGGCCAGACAGGCTGGTAGGTGAGACTCCTGGGAAGGGGCCCAGATCATTCTACCTATACTGAGGACAGAAGATATATGTGTAGACTACAATGGGGCTGCCCTCCAGCCTGTGGCCCTGGGACCTCAGCTCTGCAAGGTCTCACCCCCAGGAAGAGTGTCTGGCTGACAGCTTCTCGGCCTTCTCGGAGTTCGGGCTTCGGCTGCTGCGCCAGCTCCGAGACTACTTCCCAGCCACCAACAGCACAGCCATCTCCCGCCTGGAGCTGCTGCTCAAGTGGGTGCTGGGGCGCAGTGGGCAGGCGCAGGAGGGAGGAGGGCAAGGGCAGCCTCGATCAGCAGGTGGCCCTTGACCAGGTGTCTGGGCAAGCTCCAAGCCTTCCAGCCTTCCTTGGAGATCTGTCCCTTCGAGTCCGAGCTGAAGATGGACGTTGCCGCGGCCCTAAAGGTACATAGGAGGCTGGGCCAGTAACCCACCAACGACACAGCACTCTTCCCTCTGCCTCGCAGGCCCTGCAATGCCCCTTTTTCTCCTTCTCTCCTCCCCAAATGCTTCCCTTCCTGGCCTCCTCCAGGCTGGCCCTCCCACCGTGCTGCCTCTGGCCTGGCCCCACATTCAGACCTGTCCACCAAGCTGCCCAGCTCCACCCTCTCCGGACACACCCTACGACCCTACTGACTCACCAAACTGCCCAGCCCGGTTCAACATGTTGGCTGGCCCGTCCCCTTTCAGACAACCCTGCTCACGGAGCTGCCCCCACCCCAGTCCATCTAAACCCGCCCCCTCCACACGATGCCTCGTTCTTTTCGCCTGAACCTGATTCGTCTACTCTTCACTCTTTCCCGCCCACCATGCTGCTCCTGCCTGCCACCTCAGAACCAGCACTGGCCATCTCTCCCCGCTACCAGCCCTCGACCTGCCTATCACAATGCCCCCTCCTCTAGGCCCCATAACCCGCCCCACCCATTCGGACATGCTACTCCTCTCCTCTGACCTCATCTCCCAGGCTGACCACACTGCCCCCGTTTCGCCCCCTGGGTACTCATGACTCAAGCTCACAGCGATGCCCAACTGACTCCACCCCTGAGGGCTGGCCCACCCACTTTTTCCTCCCTCTCTCTGCCCATCATCTATCCCTCTCCAGTCCTGCCCACTACCTGTCTGTCCAGCATAATGCCCCCTGCCCCACCTAATATGCTGCCCAGCTGACTCCACCTCTGAAAACTGACCCACTCACTCTTCCCTCTCTCACCGCTGCCCCCTGACCTCCGTCGTAGAGAGGCAATTGCGAGTGGTATGACAAGCTCCTGACTGCCAAGAGCCCCCGCGAGCAGGTGCGGTGCAGCGAGGGTCCGCGGGCCGATGATGCGGGCGATCAGGGAGTGGGGGGCGATCGGGGAGTGGGGGGCGATCGGGGAAGGGGGGGCGACCGGGGAGTGAGGGGCGATCAGGGAGTCAGGGGCGACGTGAGAACGAGCGACTTCCCTCCCTTACAGTCGGCGCCTCAGCGCCTCCCCGGGCTCATCGAGCTAGTTGACGCCGTCTACGAAGATCTGCAGGCTTGTTACGGCGTCTATGCCAGCCTCTTCCACAGGTAGGAGTTCAGCTTGGGACCTGGATGGCGTCTGAGATGCGGGGGGCAGGTGAGGCAGAGGGGCCAGCTGGGGCCAGGTAGCTGAGACCAGCCCTTTGCAGCATCCTGAAGGTCGACTTCTTCACCCTCACCTTTGGGCAGCTGGAGCGTCTGGTGAGGCGGGACCCTGACCTGGGGACTTGATGGTGGTGAGGGAGTGGGGGTGCGAAGGGTCCCAGATTTCTCTGTTCTAGATGACTGTTTCCGCCCTCCACGTGCAGTTGGCAGAGGAGACATGTATTCTAATGGAGGAGCTAAGTCCCAAGATGAACCCGGAGGTAGCCTCCGGGCTGTTTGAGCTCTACCTGACCCTGGCAGACTTGCTACATCTCTGGAGCAGTGTTCGCAGCCCGTGCGTGCCCGCCTCCACTTGCCCCACCTCTGGAGGGGTAGGGCGCTGGGCAGTCCTACTCAAGGGAGTTGTGAATTGGGCTACTGACTGACGGCTTCGCCCCCCAGGGACAGTCGCTCGCTGGCCTTGGCGGGCATCCACGTGACCTTCCTGCCTGCCATCAAGCTCTGGCTGCATGTACTGCGGGATCAGACTAGGGGGCGGCTGCAGAGCGCCGTGGACGTGGACACGGTGAGTGGGTGCCTGTCCAACTAAGCAGTTGGGGCTCGCCCAGGTCCCATAGCAACTCTGGATCCTCTGCCATCCAGTTGGAGCCGGTGGACGCCTCTTCCAAACACAGTGGTTCCGCCGCTGCCGCTGGACTGTGCTTCAGCCACCTGCAGGAGTTCTGGGTGCGCCTGGCATGGCCGGACCTCGCGCAGGCCCAGGGGCTGGGCACTCAACTCGGCCAGGTGCGCCTGCAGGGGACGCGGGCTGGGAAAGGCAGGACGCCCGGGGGAAGGGGGGGAGCGCTGCCACGTCCAGTCACGTGCTGCCCGCCCCCACCCCACCCCCGCCCCGCAGGACATGTGTGAGGCCGCTGTGTTCTACACGGAGCTGCTTCGGAAGAAGATGGACACACAGCCAGGGGCCTCAAGTGAGGCGGTTAGTAAACTGCAGAGTAGTGGGGACGGGGCCTTGGGGACCCACTTCCACGCTCCCCCACTTATCCGCTCTGCACCCTAGCTCTGCGCAGTTCTTAACAACGTGGAGCTGGTGCGCAAGGCGACCGGGCAGGCGCTGAGGGGTCTGGCCTGGCCCGAGGGCTCTGGGGGGCCCGAGGCCGGCCTCCCAAGAGCCCTGCTCAGCTGCTCACAGGCTCTGGACGAAGATCTGCAGCGGGAGGCGCGCACCGTGACCGCCCACCTGACCTCCAAGGTGGGCGGGGCGAAGGGCGGGTGAGGGGGCGTGCCCGGGGCCCCTAGCTGAGCGTCCCCTTTCCCCAGATGGTGGGCGACATCCGGAAATACGTGCAGCACGTCAGCCTATCGCCCGACTCCATTCAGAATGATGAGGTGTGTGAATGAAAAACTAGCCTGTTTTGTAAAACTCCAGCGTCCAGTCCCGTCCCCCCTCATCCCTGAAATCATACACACCAAAATCACCACCACCAAATTACCCCCAAAGCCGGGTCGTGGTGGGTGTTAGGGTCTAGAGGGGTCCGCCTTGCGCCGCCTGCCCACAGGCCGTGGCCCCGCTCCTGAAGTACCTGGACGAAAAGCTGGACCTGCTGAACGCCTCACTGGTGAAGGAGAACCTGGACAGGTACTCTGAGGAAGGGAACGCGGAAGGGTGGCGGGGATGCGCGCTGCACTGGCGCTGGCACGGAGGCCTGGTCCCACAGGGTGCTGGAGGGGCTCTGGGAGCTACTGTTGCAAGCTATCCTGCAGGCGCTGGGCGCCAATCGTGACGTCTCGGCCGACTTTTACGGTCGCTTCCACTTCGCCCTGGAGGTAGGAGCCTGGACCTGCTCCCAGATGACCTCTGGGGGCTGTCTGTCCTCTTCCTCTGTTCTCTTGCGGAACACCCGCCCTGCATCAGCACCACCTGGGCCCTCCTGGGTGAGAGTGCCCTCTTCCTGGGAGGCATCTGGGCCTGGAGATCCCTGGTCTATCCCCTGTCCCTGCGCTTGTGTACCCAAGACTGCCCTCCCGTCTCTCGTTGCTCCAGGCTCTGGTGAGCTTCTTCCATGCCGAGGGCCAGGGTCTACCCCTGGAGAGTCTCAAGGATGGGAGCTACAAGGTGAGCGAGGGCGTGGGAACGAGCTGCATGGGCACCTGAGGACCCTAGTGCCCGGTGTCCCCCAGAGGCACCCACTTGCCTCGCTGCCCCCATCCGCAGAGGCTGGAGGAGGAGCTGCGTCTTCACAGATGCTCCACCCGAGAGTGCATCGAGCAGTTCTACTTGGACAAACTCAAGCAGGTAGGGTTGCCCAGGTGCACTCCACACTCTCACCCCCACCCCCAGGAAACCCAACCCGGCTTTCTGTGCTTTTTACAGAGGCCAATGAAGCAGAACAGGTTTGGACGCCTGAGTGTCCGTTGCTACTATGAGGCAGCAGAGCAGCGGCTGGCGGTGGAGGTGCTGCATGCCGCTGACCTTCTCCCACTGGACGCCAATGGTGAGCCCTAGGGCGGGGGCAGGGCCAAGTATATGGGCACTGGGTCAGGCAAAACTGGGATGGAGTGGTTGGGTGCAAAGGGGCAACTGTGGGCCCAGAGCAAGGTTGGTGGGCGCGGGAGAACAAAGCAGGTGTGGGAGGGCCAAGGCCGCCTAAGGCAGCTTCCCTCTCAAGGCCTGAGTGACCCCTTCGTGATCGTGGAGCTGGTCCCACCGCACCTATTCCCGCTGGTCCGCAGCCAGAGGACTGCAGTCAAGACCCGGACCCTGCACCCTGTGTATGACGAGCTCTTCCACTTGTGAGTGTTGGGGGTTCCACCCCCGGGTCTGTGCAGCAGGGCCACTGGCAAGCCCCACCCCGGGTCTGTGCACAGGGCCACTGGCGGGCTCCACAAGACCTTATGCTGTGTGCCTGCAGCTCCGTGCCAGCTGAAGCCTGCCGCCGCCGTGCGGCCTGCGTGCTCTTCACAGTCATGGACCACGACTGGCTGTCTACCAATGACTTCGCTGGTGAGGCGGCCCTCGCCCTGAGTAGTGTTGCAGGCGTTGCCCGAACCCCCGCAGGAGCGGGTGCACGAGCTGGGCAGCCTGTCACCCTGAACCTGCGCCGGCCCAAGGCCCAGGGTGAGGAAAGCACACAGGGAGGGGAACAAGCGGTGAGGTGAGTCAGGACCAAGCCAATCTTAACCTTCCTACAGTGATGGCAGCCTTGCGAATGCTGGAGGGCCGGGCCAACAAGGATGCCCAGGATTTGGTCAAGAAGCTCCGGGAACTGGACAAGAGCATGGAGGGGGATGCTTGAGCCCTCCCACCCCAGCTGTTTTGGGACCCCAGCCCAGGTTCCCAAGGGCTGGCCGTGGCACACCCTCCCCTGCTATGTACTGTGGTTGGAGTTTCTGGCTTCTTTCTGCCCTGGCTGTACTGGTGTGGTTGTGTTCTGTGAACTCCACATCCCTGCCCCAGTCTGGATGTATTCTTTGGTGCCCACAAGCAGCTGCTGCCCTGGAGCAGAGAGGGGCCCAGGATGCCAGGTGGGTGTCCTCCCCTCTAGCAGCCACAGTTGACAGGTGGCTTCTCTTATTAAGGCAGGGCTGTCAATGGACAGCTGTGCTCCCAGGGAACATTTCTGGTAATCACAGAGGGTAGGGAGCCAGTGGCACTGCTCATATGAAACCAGACACATCCCCAGTGGTGGCAACTGAGGGTGCTATGACATCTTGCATTAAAGCTTGACATATTCCCAACAATGCTCTCCCCAGAGCCACAGTGAACACCCGTCTTGGTGGAGACCCCAGGCCAGGGTAAGAGGCTGTAGGCCTGGAGGCTAAAGGTGGTAAGCTGATGTTGGATTCCAGGTGGAAGTTGGTGAGGGGATTGCATCCTCTCCTGCAAGGTTTCCCAAGGATGACACAGGTCTCTCCCCTGGCTCCAGGACCCAGGAGAGGTGCCCTGGGGTTACTTAGAGAAGCAGGACTGTCACCTGGTAGGGCAGTGTGAGGGGCTACCTGCCCTCGCAGAAATTAGCCTGCCTACACTAGCACCCCCTTCTTAGCAGGGTCTGCTTACAAGAGGCCTAGCATCTGCTCCCCTACCCTTGCCTGTCCCATAGTAAAGGAGGGGTGCTCCAGGCAAGTGTGAAAACAAATCCACATAGGTCCTCATCCACAGCTTCTTTGAGGGCTTCAGGGAGGGGCCAGGTAAAAAAAAACACATTCACAGGAGCTCCTTGTTTTCTAGCTTCATTGAGGGGCTCCAAGACTGATAACTGGAGTCCAGCACTGCTGATGGTCAAGGGCCAAAACCACAAGATCTGTCTGCTCCCCACTCCCTATTGCTGCCTCCAGAGTCCCCTCATCCAGCCGTGAAAACATGTATATATCCATGAACCTCCATGAAAACTTTAATATGTTCGTTTGCCTCTATGAAAATTATACACATATATAAGAGCCTCTGTGAAAAATGTCTGTGAGCCTCAGTCTCTCTGCCGCCTCCTGACTCCTTTCCAAACACCTTCTGTGGTCCTGGCCTCTGCCCCCTTCCCTAGTTTCTCAGCCTCTTCCTCCTTGTCATCTTCTTTTCCCTCCTCATTCTCTGGGCTGCTGCTGCTGTCTGATCCATCTTCCACACTGGGTCCCTGCTCCTCAGACTCACTGTCACTGTCATCACAGTCTGGGGATGGCCTGGAAGGGAACAGAATGTCACTGACGGTATCACTCTCAGCCAGCCTAGGATAATCCTCCTAGGCACACTCCTCCCAGAGCACCTGTTCACAAGCCTGGTGCCAGCTTTTCCTCTCCTGCAGTCATAAACCCCATTCTGCAGACCACACCACAGGCTGGAGTACTCACCGGGCATTGCCCATGGGCCGGTTGGGGTTGGCAAATTCCCGCCCCGAGTCCACGTCAAAGGGATCTGAAGTGAGACAGAAAATGGAGGTCAGTGAGCTTCCAACTCTTCTGTGTCTCTGAAGGTGGTGGCTTGTAGGATCCTCTCCACCCAGAACCAGGGGCTCCCTTGGTCCTGGGCTCACCAATGTCCTCCTCAGGGCACTCCTTGGCACTGGCCAGGAACTCCTTTTCAGCCTGCAGTACTTCTTCTGGGCTGCTGCAGGCTGCGTACTGGTCCAGGAGCTGGCGGTTCAGGTCCAGGAAGCTTGTCCCCCATTTAAACTTCCGCAGCAGAATGAAAGCAAGGTCTGGAAAGCCTGGCAGGGTGGGAAACAGGAGAGCTGGGTTGCCCTATAGTTCCTCTCCCACGTGGGTCCAGACCACCATCACTGCCAGGTCAGGGAACAGAAAGGTTCCCTCCCAACATTAAATCACACTCTAATCCCGGCTGGTCAAAGGGAGATAGATGTGAAGGGAGAGGGTAGAAGTGGATGGGTATCCTGGTGGATGGTGGAGCAGGGAAATAAGTGGGTAAAGATGTGTCTGAGAAAGGCAGGGACAACACTGACACTAAAGTTAACTCCGCAATAATGGATATACCTTTAACTTGCTGGTCTGTCTGATACTTCTCTAAATCTGAACATTCACATTAAGACAGACTAGGAAGAAGGATTGGCCATCCACTTCTGAAATAGCAGGCCTCTGAAAACCCTATGTACA